TTTGTTATCTAGATTAACTTTAGTGTTGATGGAGAAAAATCCAAACCAAAAAAGAAGTAGGATGAGTTGATAGGCTTCAGTGTGCAAAGATCAAGGGTAAAAAGGAGTGGATAGTTATGCTTACAGAATTAAATATTCCATTCTTTGGGAAAATCACATGAAGCGAGGGTTTACCTTAGGAATAAATAAATGCCAACAACTAAGCCTACTTTTTAAAACTTTTATATTGAAATATGGTATAGTTTACATACAGTAAAATGCACAGATTTTAATTGTACAGCTTGATAATCTTTTAGACATACACACATCCTTTTAACAAACACGCAAGTCAACATAGAGAATATTTGCAACATCCCAGAAGGCTATTTTCCACCCCTTCCACTCAGTAAACCTCAGTGGAAACCCATTATGCTGGTATCTGTCAAGACAGGGTTTTCTTATTTTTTTTTCTATTCTTATATATTAATTTGTTTTTCCTATTCTTTCACATAAATGGAATAATACAGTTTTTAGTCTTTTGTATCTGACCTCTTTCACTCAACAGTAAGTCTGTGGTATTTACATTTGTGTGTATAGCAGTAGTTCATTTTTCCCACTGCTCTGTTATATAAGTATATCACAATTTATTTATTCATCTTATTATTGGTAGACACTTGGGTTGTTTACAGTTATGACTAAAACTGTTTTGAGCATGCCTTTTAGAGGACATAGGCTTTCATTTCTGGTTTTATGCAGTGTTCGTATGCTTGGTGTTCATAGGTAATATCAATGGGGATTTATTTCCCCTCCACTGGGCCCATTTTGAGAAAGGGAAACAAGGTAATGCTGGAAACTCCTTGGTCCTGCCAGCTTTTCTTCCCAATAGTTGGGAAAACGCTCAGTTAAACTTATAAAGAAAATCTCAGAAAACTATGATCTGACTGCATTAAGGACTACTTTGGAAAGAGAATTTTTTTTTCATTTTGCAGGGCATTCTCTTAGTTGGACTAACTGTGAATTTTGTGACTTAAAATATTAATCAACCAAAAATGTATGCCCAAACTGTCAAATGAGCCTGGGAATGAAACCGCTTATAGGTCTCTCCATCAGCCATCAATGCCATGACTCTCAGGGCACTTGCTTGGGACAGAGACCAAATTTGATTCATTCTAGTTCACTAACAGGGAAGTAAGAAGATGTTCTGAGAAATGCAGAACAGAAAAAAAAAAAAAACCCCGAAATATCAGTTAAGTGGGAGTTCAGAAACTTCCTGTGAAAAAATGGCTAAAAGAGTTGACATTATTTAGTCAAAACGTGAGAAAGTGAAGAAAAGATGACTTGATTCTGCCCTTTAAATGGGAGGATTTTAGAAGAGGATTTGGATTGGTTTTCCTGCCTAGAGAAGACCATCTTATAAGCATTAGGCACTGCTCTCTTTTTGCTCAGAGTACTTATACCACTAGAGGAAAGTGCCAAATGGTATTAAGAAGGATTCTTAGCCATTGGTTAGAGAGGAAGTTATGTAGTCCTTTTGCTAGGAATTGTCTAGAGATAGTAACTCTCTGCCTGGAGTAATTAGAACATTTTAGGGGAATACGGATAGTTGGGACAGATAACTTTGGGAATCTTTTAATCTCAGATATTATATATATTGTGATTGAGGGACATATAGCCAAAGAAAAGTGTCAGTATAATAGAAAAAGCTCAGCCCCTTTGGTAACTTATAAGACAGTTTCACTTTAGAGAGGCCAATTTGGGCATTCAGTGTTTTGCTCTTTCCTTACCTTCTAGCATCTTGAAAGATGCTAGAAGACGTAACCATCTTCATGTACATGTCATCATGCCACCCAGCTGACTATGGTTTGGTACATTATCTGACCAGAAACTATATATTTTACTTTGTAGATGATTTCCTTACTCTTACTTCTCTTGAGAAATACCTTCCTAGTCTGTCATGGGCAGTTGCCTTGTCATTGTCCCCTGGAAACCTTCTTTATCAGACTGACAGCCCCCTGTGTTTGTAATTTCCAATTCAGAGGGTTATTGGAATTAAGAGGAAATGCTACAGGTTTTCAGTTCAGTCTTGATCCACATAGCACCTTTGTGAGGAACTTGTCAGGATCCATTTGGTTAATCCTTGTAAAGTTCTTAGAACTGCCTGGCACAGAATAAACATTCAGTGAGGGGTAGCTATTCTTACTGTTCTTTCTCTGTTTCATGTTTGGCTTCTCTGTATACGTGTATTACTAGTGCTCAGTTCTAGGAAATAAGGGGGAGTGAAGTAGGCCAGTTGGTTGGACCTAAGGAGAAGAACAAATGCAATCATGCAGAAAGATTATAGTAACTTCAAAGTATAGTTTTGGAAAATCTCTTTAAATCTAACCAATGCACAATGGAAAGTCCCCGAAGAACCAATCTAATTATTCAATTAAAATGGAACTGTTATGCTGACTTTTACTACAGAAGGCAAGCATAATTTAGAAAATGGGGCATTTTAATTCTCTTTTGTTTTCCAATTAGCACACTTGCTCTAATGGAGAGTACTCATGCTTGAGTCTAGTATGTACTTTGCACATAATTTCAGTCTCTCTCTCATCAAAAACTGGAATCCTCACCTGTTGACACATAGGTTTATTTATTATGATGCTCATACTGTCCAGATCATGGCCTCAGAGCAAATATCCTTCTGCCGTGAAAGCTGACCTGAGCGGCACCAGTTCCTCCCGCCACCCCCACCACCTCCCCAGAGCTCTGCTTTCCCTGCTGGGTATAATTAGGATGCTGAAGTAACAGAGCTCTCACTTTTTTTTGCTGATGCCAGCTTACCACAACAGACCACATGCATTTACTCTTAGTTGAAAGTGGTAAGGAAAATGCTAAGAACATTCATTTTAATTGGTCAACATTATACGGACTTTAGTGCCACTGTTTTATAGTCCTGTGCTTAGGATTTCTTTCTGCCACTAGCCATCAGCTTATTATAGTGGAACTCTTATTTGCTTCTGATTATCCTTTTTACTATTATTTGATTATTACTTGAAAACTTTAAACCTCTTTTGTTTATTGCTACCTTATTTAGGTAACAGTTTCATCTGCCCTGATACTTACTAAGTTCTACATAAAAGACTGACATTTTCGCAAGGTGGGAAAGTATCTTTTCATCATGTGTCCCTCAAGACAAGGATGAATGGCAGAGATTTTTTTCTTTCTTAAATGCTTGCTTTGAGGCTGATGTTGCGTAGCTAAAAGACATGAATCATATGGGTAGTGTGTGGTGATAGTAGAAAGGTGGCAGGGATGGTGGTACGAATGATCCTCAAATGCAGCTAGACGTGTTTTCTTTGAATTGGTTGGATTTCTTCCTTCTGAACTCTGGAAAATGTTTAATTTGTTATTATATGAAAAACATCCATAACATATGAGATAATAGTAAAAGGAGAATTGTGTTTTTTAAAACGTGAACTCACTCTTCTTAAAAGTTTTGCGGGGATTTACGAAATTAGGCACTGACCTAAGTATAGGTAATGTGGTCTTTGGCCTTTGGCGCCAACATGACACATTGTAAGCTGGTAGAGCACAGTAGCCTTGTAATTCTGTCATACAGCTGAAGCTGTAAGGTGTGGGCAGTGGCTGCAGTTCCTCATCAGGACTTCATGCTCCATCTCCCCCTTTACCAAGTCCTTCTCACATAGGCCTATGGGGATTGCCGGGGCTGAGTTCCTTTGACAATTTCCCCTGAATCGCTTTCTTTCATCAAACTGAAGAAGTTAATACAATTAATATTAGAATGGGAAATTATTTCATGCAGAGAGATTTTGTTTAAGTAATTATGAAGATCAAGAGGAAGTTTACCTAAGATTTTGCTTTCATTTAAATGAGTGGGGGATAGGTAGAAATAAAAGAAAAATTATTTAAATTACAATTAGAAAGCTTTAATGTTACGAGAAAAAAACACAGAAATTAGAGCGTATATGCAAAACAGAGGATTAATTAATTTATAGTGATATTGAGAAAGTCCATCTATGTAAGTATAAAATAGTCATTTAAACGCATAACTTAAGAAACAGTTATGTCTTTAAATTAGTTTGAACATTTTCACATTCTAAAAAAAATACATTTAAAATCAAAAGGATCAAAATGAGAACCAAAATAATCTAAAATCATTTCTAATTTTACAAAGGATTGATTTCCTGGCCTAAGTACCAATTATTCCTCTGTAATACTGTAAGAGTCATTATGAGACTGATAATAATTACTGTCATTTATTGAATATTTGCTCTAAGCCAGAGATGAGGCAAACTATGACTCATGGGCCAAATCTAGTCTTGTTGGAACACAGCCATGTTCATTTGCTTATGCAATAGAATAGAATTGAGTAGTTGTGGCAGAGATCGACCCTCCAAAGCCTCAAATATTTACTGTTTTGCCCTTTCCTGAAGAAGTTTGCCAATCCCTAATTTAAGACAAGCACTGTTCTTTTTAATAATTATGTCATTTAATCCTTACAACCAGGAGGTTAGTTTCTTATCCTACTTAGATAGATGATGAAATCGAGGCTTAAAGATATTAAGTGACTTGCCCAGGGATACTCAGCTAAGTGGAAGAATATGAACTTGAAGCCATGATGGTAGAGTCCATACTTTTCCCCTTTGTGTCCAGTTTCTTTGCCATTAGCCTTCTGAGAGGTGGCATAACTTGGTGGTTAAAGATATAGAAGACTCTGAAGCCAGGTTGCTTACATCAAGATGACCTTGGGCAATAAATGACTTGACTTTTTGTCTCAGTGTATAAATGTTGGCAAATACTACTAATTGTTGGCAAATACTATTATAACTCCTGTTTTGTAGGTGAGATATTAAATCTCCAGAAATGCTTTTAAGCTTCCCAAAGACCTGACTTTACAAATGACTATAGCTTACCTCCAGTGCTAGATAGATAACACATATTTCAGAGGGCCAATCGCTTTGGAAAGATAAAATCATGAGACCAATGTTCTTTTTTTTCCCTCTTTTAATTATCAGGTCCTTCATAGACAGCAGTCTCAGCCCGCCAAGGAGAGTTCCCCTCCCAGAGAAGAAGCGCCTCCCCCACCTCCTCCTACTGAAGACAGTTGTGCCAAAAAGCCCCGGTCTCGCACAAAGATCTCCTTAGAAGCCCTGGGGATCCTCCAAAGCTTTATTCATGATGTAGGCCTGTACCCCGACCAGGAAGCCATCCACACTCTTTCAGCCCAGTTGGATCTCCCCAAACACACCATCATCAAGTTCTTCCAGAACCAGCGGTACCACGTGAAGCACCACGGGAAGCTGAAGGAGCACCTGGGCTCCGCAGTGGACGTGGCCGAGTATAAGGACGAGGAGCTGCTGACCGAGTCAGAGGAGAATGACAGCGAGGAAGGCTCCGAGGAGATGTACAAAGTGGAAACCGAGGAGGAAAATGCTGACAAAAGCAAGGCAGCACCTGCCGAAATTGACCAGAGATAATGTGAACTCCTACTAGGCAAAGCAATACGTCGGTCCAAGGATTTTCTGCTTTTGTTTCTTTAAAAGTTTTTTTGTTTGGTTTGGTTTGGTTTGGTTTGGTTTTTTTTTTTTTTTTGCTTTATTTTTGTCTTTTTATGTCTGTTTTTTTTTTTTTTTTTTTTTTTTTGTTGTTGTTTTTCTTACCCTTTTGGACATTTCTTTGTTGCACAGGATACACCTATAGACTGAATAAGTTCAGTATTTCCGAATCAGACATCGCCTTGGCAAAGACACTAAAGCGTTACACTTTATCCCGTCTCTATGACTGGATCATAGTTATTATAATCACAGGAGACTCTGCCTTCATTATCCTTGCACTTAACGGAAGTTACATCAGGCAAGTTCCAGGATGAAAAGAACTACGAAATAGATGAAGGAAGCTACAAGTGTGTGTGTATATGTATATGTATATATCTCTATATTTACATATATATATTAAAATTGCATGGGACAGAGACTTTACAATCCGAAAGAATAGACTGTGAAATTAGTTCTTAAAGAAAAGACTTGTTTATGTATTAAAAAAAAACCACTTCACAGTGAGTCGCTTTGGCTTTTTGATAAACTGCGGCCTGCTCTCAGGGTGGGGTGACTATTTTTGAATTCCTATTTATTTTTTGTGTTTGTCCCTGATTTTTTTTTTAATTCTATGGCTTCCTATCTGGCAGCTTAATGGGTAATTTTTGAGGTATGTATTTAACAAAATAAACCAACACTGCCAAAAAAAAAAAAAAGAAAGAAATAGAAGAAAGTAGAGTGAAAAAAATCAGGGCACATTAAAATGATACAAGTCAAATTATTTTTAAAGACACAATGCACACTTAAAATGACTCAGTAAAATGACTCTCTATGTTCCGTTATTCAATTTGTCATTACTGTAGTGAACAGATGCATTTCTGTGGAATTCCAAATAAGTAAAACTGAAATTCAGTGCAGAGAAAACTCTGTCCATTAGTGCAAGTCTTGATCAAATGACATTTTGACATTGGACATATGGAATTCATAGTATGAGCCACATTTTTTTGTGAAATTTATTTACCTGCTTGTGGCTTCAAATTTGAAAATAAGCCTGCTCATTTAAAAGTTGTTTGTTGTTGCTGTTTTTTTTGTCTTTTTTGTTTTGTTTTTTTTAAAATAGAAAATAGTTCAGTGTAATATTAAGTTAGAAAAGAAGTTGCTGCCCAGTTAAAGGGGCTCCCTCTCAAATCTCTCTCCTTCCCTCTCCCAAAAGACATTTCTTATTTCTGTTTCACTTTGTGCTTCCTCTTCTTCATACACATTCCATCAACCTAATCAAACATTTTCAGTTCCTAATCTCTCCTATCCCTTTCCTGGGATGACAGCCCTAACAAGAACTGTTTTTGAATTTTGTGCAGCTCCGGGCAATAGAGTATGTGAAGCGATTTCAGTAGAATCACCTACTCATCCTAAAAGAAAACATTATCCCAGTTACCTACATGGCAATTACCTTATGTAAAGCAGAACTAATGCTGACTGGATGTTTAATGGGATGAGCATTAAAGCTGCAATCTACTATAGTACTCCAGATCTCTTTCAGCTTCCTGTGAGAAACACCAGAAGCATTACTTTCCACTTCTACTTACAGTAATTGCAAGAGGAGACCTCACCTTCAGGACTGGCCTAGTGAACGTAATCCATGCTTTAAACTGGCCATTAAACAGTCCCACGTGGTTGGATTTCTTTTTTCTTTTTTGAGTTGTGCTCTCACGAAACCTTGTCAAAGACCTCATGCAATATCACTTTGAAAGTTATTTTCTGTTTACTACACAAACATTGTAATATAACTGTTAATACTATTTATATATTTGAAAGGTATAAAAGGTAGGAGTTAAAAAAACCTCTATGTGTAGATATTAACTCAGAACTTACAATATACAGGGAGAAGACATGTTGCAATACAAGCTAATTCTAGCTGCTCAGTAACCTCTGGAGTTTTTAAAGGGACATTTTCCTGTACTTTTTCAAATAATGATGTTTAAAAATTATCTTGACACGAGCGTCATATACCTTTGCGAAAGGATGGTTGTTTGCAGTTAGCCCTGGGCCCATCCTTCCTATTTCTGTAGTATGCTGCAGCTTTAATCAGAAAGTCCATGGTTGCTGCTTCCTGATCTCCGAGTTACTCTTTCCAAATTGTCTTCTTACACTGTTGCTGAAAGTCACTCTGTACAGGTAATGGAAACTGATTTTGCCAAGCTCTTACAAGGTGGTTCATCTATCGATGGCATCCGCATTTGGTATCTTTTACACTTCAACCAAAAATTTATTAGGTATTTTTCAATGCTAAGTCTTGCCTTTTATTTTTTAATTTCACTGCCAAGTTTGCAGTGGTTCTAAGTGAATCTGTGGGCATTTTAGCCTGTGGTCTTGCCAGATCTTTGCGAATTACAATGCATATATGTCTATTTATTCAATATCTGTCATATAATATCTATTTGGAAGAAGAAACTTTCTCTTGTAGTGCCTCTTGACAAAGCACAATTTCCCGCCTTTTTTTTTTTTGTGAAATGAAAAAAACAAATTGTGTTTTATTGCGGTATCAACAATGTGAATAAGGATTAACATATTGTAAATGTTCTTTTTTCCATGTAAATCAACTATCTTTGTTATCACTAAGTGATAATTAATTTTTAACTTATGTGCATTGTTAGGCTGTTAGAATTTTTTGGTTGTTAAAATAAACGCATTCAATAAATATGACTTTGTTTGTCAAGTATTTTACTGGGCATTACTTGCTTCCCATTTAGTTTTTCATGCAGAGAGAGACCTGGTGAGTCTTAGGAAAATTTGTACTCTTATTTTAGAAACAAGACAGTGGTACGCGCAATTCCAGATGTATGGATCCTGTACAGTGCATGGATTTAATTGCACATGTGAATATATGTGTGTTTCTGTGTTTATATAAATACATGCATGCTCACTTCCTGGAGCTGGCAACTGGGACAGTCATTTAGCCAATCTTTTGTCACATACAAACAAAACTCAAATGTATAAAGATATTTTTAGGCTGCTGCTTTATTTTTCTAGTGAATATTTTCTGTTTATAATTAAAAAACCACAAATGACTGCGTGTCAGGAAACTTTTGGAGCACATATGTCCACGGTTAATGGACATAATAAAAGTTTTTTATATTTAGAGCTGGGGGTGCCATAATGTGTGCATGGAGGAATGCTGAAAGGATTGATGTATCTGAGAAATGTGTGAAAATGATTTTTTAGAAAGTGCTTACAATGGAAAAAATTGCTCAAAAGACTAATGTTAATAAGGAAAGAGCAAGTGCTTCCCTTCAGAATTGACAAAGAGAAAGTAAATTAAAAAGTGATTTTGTTTTCTTTTGATATTGTAAATGGTTTTTTTTTTTCTTTTTTTTTTTTTCATTTTTCTGCATTTGATTGACATACCGATGTAGCTTCTTTTTCTTCCTCGGTTTCCCTTATCTTTTTTTCTATGACAGTTAATAGCCCATGGACCATGTAGATACGTTTCAAGGACAATTTGTGAAAACCAAGTGCTTGCAGACGGCTTCAGGGTGCTGAAAGTTTTTAAAAACAACTAGTGGCTCATCACAGGGTGAAACGTTATTTATGCAAATGTAAATGAACTCTGCATTTTGTGACAAAGAAGAAAAGCATTTGTGAAATAATGACTTTTAGCACAAGCAGCTTTCACTTTCATGAGATTGTGTTTTTAGGAGTCAAACTTCATCGGTGGGAGGCTCTACACACAGATGAATTGGGTTCTGCCTAGGTGTCTCTGTGCTGGTGACTTCTATTTTCAAGAAAGCAAACTAGGAATTTCTCAAGTAAACAAAGTCATATAGCAAATCTCAGAGCCATCACTTCATAGGTTTTTTGCTGTGTGTGTGTGTGTCTAGAGGACCTATGTTTCTTTACACTGTTGCTTCCCCCTTTCTGAAGAGTCTTAAAGACATTCTTTCTAAAGGACAATCATGCTGTAATCAGATAGTAAACATTTATTAAACATGTACTCTATACTGGACAATTTGCTAGAAATTGCGGTGACAAAGAAGAATGTATGACTTAGTGCTTTCTCCTCCTTAGTGCTTTATGTTGTGTTGGAAAGGCACAACATAAATCCAGGAAAAATGAAATAGTCACAAAAAAGTTGTCTTCAGACAGAACTGTAGTTTGTTTAATGGGTGGTACAAACACATACTATGAATTAAGTAATTATTGCTTGTAAGCTAGAACGATTTTGGAAGGTGGATCATTTATTATTAGGATTAGCTGTGTACAATAGAAAAAAAAAAGCACAAAGTAATAATGACCCAACAAGGGTTTCTTACATGAAAGAAGTTGCTGAAATAAGCTGGCTTCATGGAGTCAGAGACTCAACACTTTTTCCAGCTCACAGCTCCATTATTTTCCTGTGTTCCTTCTTCATGGTCCAGGATAATCACTAGAGCTCTCGCTCTCACACCTAACTTCCAGGCACCAGAAGGGAAAAAGGAGTAAAGAACGACACACAATCTTTCCTTGGTACTGTAGGGGATTGGTTGCAGGACACCCCCGACCCACACACACACACACCCAACCCACGGATACCAAAATCTACTAGTGCTCAAGTGCCTTATGTAAAGTGGCATAGTTTTGCATATAACCTTTGGGTATCCTCCCTTACCCTTTAAATCATCTTTTACTATTTAAAATATCTAATACAATTAGTATACATATTATGTATGTTAGTATGCATGGTAATACAATTAGTATAACATAAGTGCTAGAGGGAAGAATGACAAGCAAAAAAAAAGTCTGTACATGTTTAGTATAGACACAACCATTCCTTTTTAAAAACAAATATTTTTGATTCACTGTTGGTTGAATCCACAGAGAGAGAAGAACGACTATACTCTCTTTCTTCAAGTCCTATACCTGAATGCAAGGGAGTCTAGTAAATGTTTCTAGCTGTTCTGTGAATTCCAGAGAAAGGGGGAGAATGGATAATTGCTAGGCAGCTAACAACCTCTGTATTAGAAGATATTAGAAGAATGTTGAAAATGATAGATAAGGATAAGTGAAGAGGCACATTTGCCCTGCTGTTACTTCCTGCACCTTAGCATCTCTTCCTTCTCCTCACCCTGAGGTCAAGTTTATTTCTGGCTAACTTTAACAATCAGTCCAAGCAGCTCTTCTTCCAGGAAGCCCTTCCCGATCTGCTTTGCCAGTGTGATACAAATTCTTCCATGCTCATGCCACTCCCAGGGTATTCCACTGTGCAGTTTGTAGCATGTTGTGGTTATTGTGCTAAATGTTTATTTCCCATGAGCTCTTGTGACCTACAGCTGAATCCCAGACATGGAGTTCCTCAGTACCTAGAACAATGCACTCATAAATGTTGATTGAACGATTGTTTATTAAATATGTGGAAAAAACAATGCATTCAAAGATAAAGAGTTAGAGAAGAAGGCACACTGTAGGACAGTGAGCAGAGGAGCAGGAGAAAGGAACCCGACACTGGCAGAGCTCTCCCCTCACAGCCACTCCTTACAAATACTCTTATCCTCAATTAACAGTGAGAAAGAAAGCTCTGCCTAACTCAAGGTCTCAAAGTGGGTTTATTGCTCTTTTTCATATATGTCTAGACAGTTATTCAAGACACACGCTTTTGGGTTCGTGTAATCTTTTATGATTTCTAGATCTTTCCAAATCATAAAAATTGGGAAATTGATAAAAGTAATGGAAGAGGATAACAAATATTGGCAAAAGTTAAGGATGTTCATTCAGGTTTTTTCCAAACTGTCATGTTCTTAATATACTTGTAAAATAAAGCAGAAAAAGCCAAACCTATTCCTAAAATGATCTACTTTAAGACCATTATAACTCACAGGTTACTGTTATTTCCTCTTCCAAATTCATGGCACTGTACCACGCATTAAAAATGATAGAGCAGTGTTTGAAGACAGCCTTCATGAGGTTACTTCCCATCTCCTGGGTTTATGTTACAGACTTTGGTGACTGAACATGGCAGATGATATTCATAAAGAAAAGCCTGAAACTTTGAAGGGAATAAAGGTTTCAGAATATTTGAGTAGTGATGGTGGCTCATGTCCTGGTTGTGTAATGTTGGGCTAATTATGTCGTTAACGACTCTTACAGGGTTATGGAGAATCCAGTGGTATAAGATGCTTTGAAAATGGTAACCTTTATGAAAATATTACATTTGCCTTCAGAAATTCTCAAGTAGTGATCTAACTTTGATTAATTTTATTTATTAACTTTCAGGGATCCTGATGAAATAAAGCAACATTTAAGCTTTTATATAGCTATTATAGACATATTTACTTAAGGCTTGTGGTATGACCATAGGAATGCCATGATCAACTCAATCTTTTCAGCAAATATACTTATTGAGCACCATCAGTGGCCTTGATTTTTAATGCAGAATCAAAGCAGTTCTGAATATATTTAAATTGATTAGTTTATAAGATTTCTGTTTTCTATCACCCCAGAGGATGCTACTCCAAGGAACCTTGAAAGTGAAGCTAAATACATTAATTTGTGTCTGAAATCCTTACCACTTAAAAGTGAACATCTATGAATTGGGCACATTTTGCTTTACTTCTACCTTCCACTCATCTTTTCAAAGTGAGTGGAGAAGAATAAATTGTAGGAGACTATGTCAAAAGTAATTAAGAAAGATTTGAGCAATAGCTCAGCAGGCTTGGGGATGGATGGGACTCTTTAAAGACAATAGCAAGGCCTGACTGAGGTCTTTGCATTTGGCCAGGCAGAAAACAGGGGTGGGTGGGCAGGTGGAGGTGACACAGGGCTATATGGGGATAGGCATGACAATGTGTCCTCTGAATAAGCATGTCTAGGACTGGCATATTGAGTCAGAGACAGGAACAGTGAATGAAGGGTACAATGAAGGGAGGTGATTAGGCACCCTGCAAATTCAATATTGCTAGGAAATTATAGAGCCAGGTTCTAAAGCAAGGTCTGCATTTCTCCCCAGTATCACACCACCTCTCTTTTTGTATCCTAGAATGTCCTAGAAAGAATGCATAAAGCTGAGAATCAATTCTTTGACCAGCATGTTTTATATGACATAACCATTTGACATCTCTGAACACACTTTTTCATAATCTTGTTCAAGTATGACATTTCTGATTGAGTTTTGTTCTGAGGGAAAGCTTTCTTTTAGAAAACGCCATGATCTGCTACTATAACTGTCCCAGAAGAATCTAGAAGTAGCTTCTTTGGTGACATTTTAAAAGGCTTAAAGTGTTACCTTCACATGTGGAGAAATAATTACAAAAATATTCCATTAGCAATGTAATAAATAGTGCAGAGCAATGATTAATTAAAGAGATAACTATAATTTATTCACTATCCATTAACAAGCATGATCCCATTTAAAGACAAAATAACACAGGCTGAGGGAGTCAGGGGGGATTCAGTGTTAACTTTGGACTGAGCAGTCCTAGGACCCTATCCTTAAGGAAAAGGTAAGAAAAAAAATCTTTAAAACTTTAATTCATCTCTAGTTGATTGCGTGGTGGCAATGAGTTATTCCAGTTTCTATTTTTTACTAATACTGCATCTTGAAAAAGTTACTTCTCGATCCCTAGTTTCTTCATTCCTAAAATAGGCCAGCAACAGTGGCTCACGCCTATAATCCCAGCAGTTTGGGAGGCCAAGGCAAGAGGATCGCTTGAGGCCAGGAGTTCAAGA